ATTAAGTGGTTTATTTCTTTAGAACTGCTTATTTCAATCCAATACAGAAAAAATAGTATGAATTGCTCTCTTCAAGGTCACCTCTATGAAGCAATACAGGAGAAATAGCATTGGTTAAATAATGTAGATCACTGAATATAGAAGTCTTCAACAGAACAATACTCCTTGTTCACAAAAGTTGGAAATGGAAGGTCATGCCTATTACCACACTATTCACTTTTCCTCCCAAGATGGCCTCTTAATGCCTGTAACAGAATAAATCAGTGAAGGGCAAAGACAAATTGAACTAAACGAAATTAAATAAGCTATAGCAATGCCAGCATCTCCTACCTCAACCACAGCAAAGACAGCTGAACACTGAATTGTCTTGGAATGAGATTATGAGGCGCCTTACAGAATAGTGCAGACGAACAGATGTTGGGAAGAGAAAACAATACCAATTGATTCAGAGATTTCTCCAGAGTACAGGAGTTTGGTAGGCCCTAGGAATAGCAAAGACTAAATGATGTTTAGATTTTAGGTCAATTAGAAAACAATGATCTTGACATATACTCAAGTTAGCAGAATGAAATTTCTGCCCCTTCCACACCCACAAGACAAACACAGTGGCAAATAGGAAGTTTCTCTCCGTGTGCCCTTTCTCAGGGAAAGGTAGGTTTGTAGAGAAGAAATTTGGGAAACACTTCAGCTGTGTTCCTGAACTGATGTGAAGAGCAGGCTGCATATTTGATACTCATCTTGACAGCCACTTTTAAATATGTAAGAATATGTCAGGGGAATTGTCTCTGCCTTCAGAGAAGCCATGTGGACCAAGACTATTCTCTGCTTTGAATCTTTGAATCAGCATCTCTCTGTGTCTCTCTCTGTCTCTGTCTCTCTCTCTGTCTCTCTCTCTCAAACAGACAGACAGACAGACAGACAGACACACACACACACACACACACACACACACACACACAGAACAGAGCCTTGCCAAGGCATTGCTGAGCCTGTGCTGTAGTTGGATTGTACTTTTTCTTGGGGGGGGGTGTTTTTATTTTTTAAGCAAAACATTTATTGGTACATCTTAGATATACATAATGATAATATTCATCATAGGGAATTTGTACCTGTACGTGATATATCTTGCTGCTTCTTTTTTCCCATTTCCCTTGCTGTCGACCCTTCTTCCCGTCTTTATATACAAAATCTTTGTTTCTATTTTTTCCTTCTATTTTCTTTTTTTTCCTTGTCCCTTCTTTCCTTTCTCTCTCCCCCCTCCCTTGTTCCCCATTTCATTTGAACATTTTCTTCCCATTTCCCAGTGTCTATTGTACATTTAGGAAAGCCTTCTTTTTTTTCCCCCCATTAAGTTTATTGGTACATTTTAGGTATACAATACAGTTACATTCGTCATTGGGATCTTGTACCATTACATGAGTATCTTGGTTCTTATTTTTTTCCCCTTCCACTGCCCTCCCTTTACCCCCTCCACCCTTCCCTATTTGCAAAGACTTTGTTTCCATTTTTTTCCTTTTCTCATATGTTTTCTTTTCCCTTCTTTCCTTTCCGCTACCCTTCCCACTTCCCCTGCTCCTTTAGACCTTTTCTTCCTATTACACAATATCGATTATACATTTTTAAAATTACAATATGGAAATCTAGGAGACATCACCACAGATTTTACAGAATTTAAAAGGATATAGAAAGCATATTACAAAAATCTTTTTTGAAATAAATTTGACAACTTCTAAGAAGTACCTTGGAAGA